GACACCGCGGCCTGGGAGCACAGGGCTCCTGGGGAGAGGAGCATCCTGTCCCCAGGAGAGGTGACGTCTCTGTGGGTGGCCGTGGTGCCCGTGCAGACAGCCACAGGTCCACAAACCCAGGGGGGAGACCACGAGCTGGGGGTGGTCACAGTGCCCACGCAGATGGCCACAAGAACTTGAGCCTGCAGCCACAGGGAGACCACAACCGGGGACCCACGCAGCAGCTCTGCCACCAGCTCCCATGGGCAGCGCCCCGCGGGAAGACACGGCCCGTCCTGCGGCAGAGGGTCATCTCTGCAGCGGAAAAGGTAGGGGGAAAGAAAGAAAAGCCTGGGGGAGCAATGCAAGAGCTTTTTCTGCAGCAGGACCTTGGCGGCCAGACAGCAGCTCCTTCAGGGAGCGCTGCCTCCTCCGCCAGCGCCCGTGGCTGTGCCAGGGGTGTGGAGCGCCGAGCTCTCCCTGGGGATCGAGGGGATCGGGAATGCAGGCTGAGATGGACACCAGTGTGCGGAGCACGGGCCGCTCCTGCAGAACTGCTACCATGCAGAAAGGAGCGCAGAGCGGAATGGCTTTTTTGGCCACTAAAAGGGGGCTTGCCAATCACTTCCCACTCTGGCTAATTAACATATAACTGAAAAGCAGGAGGATGAACTACAAATCCCTCCTGATTGTCAAGCCAAGGCTTCTAACAGCTTGTTGGCTGCTGAACAGAGCAAGGCAAGACAAAAAGCACCACAAAAAATCCACCCAGACTGGAGCACAATCTGGAAACATAAGCACAAATTAGTTCCTCATGAATATTCAGCAAAGGACAGAATTACCTTCCCATTAAGATCTGCCAAGCCCAAGAAGCCACCCAACTTTCATTTATTGGCTCACCAAGAGAACCCAAGCCCATTTCACCTGCATGCAGGCGCTCGGGCAGCGGTGAAGGAGGGCGCCCTGCAAAAGCTTCCCTCTGAGCTTCAGCAGATGCTGCTTGAACCAGAAATGAGCCAGGGTCCT